GATTTCCATTTCATTATTTTCAATTTCTTCTTCTCGTTTATGAGGTCTTTGATTATGACTCCATTGATTCCATGAAATTAAATATTCTTTATCATTATATTTATACCTCGTTAGCTTATTTTGGCTTTCATATTCATTTAATAATTCACAATCTTCATTTTTAAATTGAAGTTTAACCCATTCAGGATTTAAACAATGTTTAATTAATCGCGGAATATCTGACATCATCTATATATAGCTTCTTTTATAAAAGATAAAAAAATAAATTATTTTAAAATTAATGTTAATTTTTTAATGATTTATAAATAAATATATTTTAATGCATCGTCTATATATAGATGTAACAAAAAAAGTCACTAAACCCGTCATATCCTACTACTCGAATACGTTTCACAGCGAGAAAAAAATAAAAGGCAAGATAGAATTTTCTAGACATAAAGAAGTTGTTTACCGAGTTTTAGCTCTTATCTCTAACAAAAAATTAATTTTTAAAAAAATGACCGAATACGTTTCACAGCGAGAAAAAAATAAAACTGTACACTGATTTTAATTTTCATTTCCAGTCACTTTACTTATTATTTTTTCTTTTTTTCATTTTAATTATAAATTATTTCATAATACGTTTATTTACGTTACCATTTTCTTTATTCTTTTGAATTCCATACTAGACACTTATAGAATATTTTGATTGTTAACGTACTTCATTAGAATGAATCCTTACAAAGGGTATGTCGATCGAATTTACCTAATTGGTATTTCCAATCAGATTGAAGAAGGTAAAATGACATGGGAAGAAGCTTGCACCCATGTTCCCATCGCCCCAACCCTTCAATCAAATGATTTCAAATATTTAGATGTTTCAAAATCTTTTTTACAAAATCAATTTAGCTTACAGAATATCCCATTGCCTAAAGGCAAGAAAGGTCGTAGGGTCAATCCCTACGACCAAATCAAAGCTCTTGCTGTGATACATGACCACTGGGCCTTTCCTTGTGGTCAAACAAAACAATGGAAACGTTTGAAATTACAACAAATTGATGTATCTTATAGAGAAGTACGCAGATACTTCAAAGAAAATCATTTCACCAAAGACGCGATTAGAGCATGCCGGGCCAGAAACAGCAGTAAGATATTGGGCGCTTTCACCCAATCTTATCTGGCACGCAGATGTTCATTATTTTAGGGGTGTTCGTGGCCAGTATATTTATGGCATAATCGACGATTTTAGCCGCAAAGTCCTAGCGTGTATACAAATACCAGATATGCTGGCAGCGACGACAGCGAACGTTGCGGCTTCCGCCTTCATTGAATTTTGGCGCCCCTTATTGTTTCTGGACCGACAACGGTTCGAAAATAGGGGCGCCTTTCAAGATCTACTTGATCTTTGGGGCGTCCAATGGGCGGCATACAGACTCTCATTCTCCCTACAAAATGGGACGATTGAGAGATTCTGGCCGACATTGGAAGCGCTGCAAAAGCATTCAGGCTATTCCTGCCTTTATTTGGGAGTACAATAATAACACACCGCATGAAGATCTCCCAATTAATCCATTAACTGGAACAAATTACACGCCAAATCAAATGTATCAGCTGAAACCGAAATACACAAATGCAGATACAGAAAGGTTGCGGCAAATATGGGATACAGATACAGGCATGACCGCTGTTGACACATTCACAGCGTAATAATAAACATAATTTTTTAATTTCATTTTTAAAAGTTTTTTTAAATGTATGTAATGAATAATTCATTAGAATATGATAATGCACATTGTAACAGAATAGAACATCACCAAAATTTTTTTTGAAATTAAAAAATAAAAGTAAAAGTATAAAGTAATCTAACCAAAAAAGATATTTAAAAGAATTTTGGAAAAAACAGAATAAGGATAATGATATTATTTTAGATACACAATCGATGTACTGAAGAATAATCCGGTAAAATGATGATATAAATTAGATTATTTTACAAGTAGCTAAAAGAATAAAACTATATATAAAATAAATGAAGTTTAATGAACAATAAAGGTTAAATAAATAATAAAGATTTTTATTTTATATCAGTATTGAGAAGAAGTAACAGCTGACACTTGGTAGACAACTTCTTTATGTCTAGAAAATTCTATCTTGCCTTTTATTTTTTTCTCGCTGTGAAACGTATTCGTCATTTTTTTAAAATTAATTTTTTTGTTAGAGATAAGAGCTAAACTCGGTAAACTTCTTTATGTCTAGAAAATTCTATCTTGCCTTTTATTTTTTTCTCGCTGTGAAACGTATTCGGTCATTTTTTTAAAAATTAATTTTTTTGTTAGAGATAAGAGCTAAAACTCGGGTAAACAACTTCTTTATGTCTAGAAAATTCTATCTTGCCTTTTATTTTTTTCTCGCTGTGAAACGTATTCGGTCATTTTTTTAAAAATTAATTTTTTGTTAGAGATAAGAGCTAAAACTCGGTAAACAACTTCTTTATGTCTAGAAAATTCTATCTGCCTTTTATTTTTTTCTCGCTGTGAAACGTATTCGGTCATTTTTTATAAAATTAATATTTTTTGTTAGAGAAGTAAAGAGCTAAAACTCGTAAACAACTTCTTTATGTCTAGAAAATTCTTCTTGCCTTTTATTTTTTTCTCGCTGTGAAACGTATTCGGTCATTTTTTTAAAAATTAATTTTTTGTTAGAGATAAGAGCTTAAAACTCGGTAAACAACTTCTTTATGTCTAGAAAATTCTATCTTGCCTTTTATTTTTTCTCGCTGTGAAACGTATTCGGTCATTTTTTTAAAAAATTAATTTTTTGTTAGAGATAAGAGCTAAAACTCGGTAAACAACTTCTTTATGTCTAGAAAATTCTATCTTGCATTTTATTTTTTTTCGCTGTGAAACGTATTCGGTCATTTTTTTAAAAAATTAATTTTTTGTTAGAGATAAGAGCTAAAACTCGGTAAACAACTTCTTTATGTCTAGAAAATTCTATCTTGCCTTTTATTTTTTTTCGCTGTGAAACGTATTCGGTCATTTTTTAAAAATTAATTTTTGTTAGAGATAAGAGCTAAAACTCGGTAAACAACTTCTTTATGTCTAGAAAATTCTATCTTGCCTTTTATTTTTTCTCGCTGTGAAACGTATTTCGGTCATTTTTTAAAAATTAATTTTTTGTTAGAGATAAGAGCTAAAACTCGGTAAACAACTTCTTTATGTCTAGAAAATTCTATCTTGCCTTTTATTTTTTTCTCGCTGTGAAACGTATTCGGTCATTTTTTTAAAAATTAATTTTTTGTTAGAGATAAGAGCTAAAACTCGGTAAACAACTTCTTTATGTCTAGAAAATTATCTTGCCTTTTATTTTTTTTCTCGCTGTGAAACGTATTCGGTCATTTTTTTTTAAAATTAATTTTTTGTTAGAGATAAGAGCTAAAACTCGGTAAACAACTTCTTTATGTCTAGAAAATTCTATCTTGCCTTTTATTTTTTTCTCGCTGTGAAACGTATTCGGTCATTTTTTTAAAAATTAATTTTTTGTTAGAGATAAGAGCTAAAACTCGGTAAACAACTTCTTTATGTCTAGAAAATTCTATCTTGCCTTTTATTTTTTCTCGCTGTGAAACGTATTCGTCATTTTTTTAAAAATTAATTTTTTGTTAGAGATAAGAGCTAAAACTCGGTAAACAACTTCTTTATGTCTAGAAAATTCTATCTTGCCTTTTATTTTTTTCTCGCTGTGAAACGTATTCGGTCATTTTTTTAAAAATTAATTTTTTGTTAGAGATAAGAGCTAAAACTCGGTAAACAACTTCTTTATGTCTAGAAAATTCTATCTTGCTTTTATTTTTTTCTCGCTGTGAAACGTATTCGGTCATTTTTTAAAAATTAATTTTTTGTTAGAGATAAGAGCTAAAACTCGGTAAACAACTTCTTTATGTCTAGAAAATTCTATCTTGCCTTTTATTTTTTTCTCGCTGTGAAACGTTTTCGGTCATTTTTTTTAAAAATTAATTTTTTGTTAGAGATAAGAGCTAAAAACTTTGCAGACAACTCCCCCATGTCTAGCAAATTTAAACATTCGTCTCCCATTTTTATATATTTGGTTTAGAATGTTCGAAAATGCGTAATATGGTCATGAATATTAATTGAAAAGAACCTTGAATTAATTCAATCTGATCTCACAAAATATTTTAAATTACAAACTTTGTAGTTTGAATAGATAATGTAGTATTAAACTCAAATAACTAGTTTTATTTTTGAATAAAATTATTTGAATTTTTTCAGTTTTGTGAATTTTCCTTCAAAAATCAAGTTTAAATATCTTATTTGCCATATAATTATAAATACAATGAAACATATTCGAAATTGAAAAGAATGACTTTTTTCTGTTCTTTCAATCATTCAATTTGAATTTTGCAATATTGGATTTCTCATTAAATAGCTATTAAAAACAACAAGCAATTTAACTTACATTCAAATTTATTTGTGTTATATTCAATCTTCTCAAAACTTATAATTTTCGGCTATAGCATGATTATATGCTATATAATATAATAAACCTATAATAGTATCATTCTTTCAATTATTTGAAGAGAAAACCGAAAAAATCTATTTTCGGTCTATAACAGCAACTTTTTCGAATTGACAGAGAAAAATCATTAGTGATATAATGGTGAGTAAGATACAAAAGAAAAATCTTGAAGTCAACTTCAAGATTATGATTTGAAAACATCTTTTGTTAAGGCTTTTAAAAAATAATTCAAATTGAAGACTAAATTATCTCATTGAGATATTTACATCAACCGACTGTTTTCAAAAATTGATTATTCCTACTAATTATTCATATTAGATCCCTATTGGCAAAAAGTAATTTTCAATAATTCAAATTTGTTAATAAAAAACTTTTCTTTCAATTTAGAAATATATTATCAGCAAAATCCCTATGCTCTATATTTATCAAATTTTTCCATCAAAGCAATTCATGATTCATTATTGTCACTTTTCATATTTTTTCTTACCATGAAATTTCACCGTACAACACTCCAAGTCGATATTAATTATTTACCATTAAATGCCGAGGGCATTCCCTCATTCTTACCCATTGTCCTCGAATTCATCCACAGAAATGTTCAGTGTGAAGGTTTATTCCGAATCAATGGAAACAAGAGTAACATTAAAATGATTAATGAAAGTTTATCACAGCACGTTCCATCGCTCCCCCAAGACTCCGATGTTTACGATGTTGCAGGATTTCTCAAAACATGGGTCAGCGAACTCCCAGCTCCCTTAGTAGATCCATCACTCATCACCAAATTCTATCAGAACGATGCTGTCAGCTCGACTTATGATATTTTGAATCATCTATCTCCAGTTTGTCGTAAGAGCGTAGCTTCCATTTTCTATTTAATCCGTGACATTATTAACAATTCGGGTTTTAACAAGATGCAATACGAAAATCTAGAAATTTGTTTCTTTTATTCATTTACTCATGTTTATAAATCTTTTCCAAAAGGTTTTAATTTCAAAACCTTCTTTATAGAAGCATGCGGATATCTGAACGAAACAGGTACCGACTTCGAATTAAAGACAAACGTACAGGTCAATACCCTCGAAAAACCAGCTTCTAGAGCGTACAGATCAGTAATGACAGCAATCCAGAGGAAGCACTTGGGTGTTGCACGCTGCGTTTCGAGATTTAATACAGATGATCTCGAAGATCTTGAAAATCAAAATACTGTTAGCATAACCGCATAAGTTTTGTTATTTAGCAATTGTTAGGTTCGGAAATTAGTATGTAAAATTTTCATGTAATTTCGTTATTTCAAATTTGATTTTTTATATTCGAACTTTTCTGAGTTATCTCATTATTATTCCTGATCTACATTGAATGAAATATACATTTTACAAGGGAGAACCTATTTAAGGCATTTTTTTCTCCAAAAATATTCGCTCGGGCGCGTAAAGGGTTGGCGTCCTAAGGCATCCTGATGTAAACTATTCAATTTTTGAGAAGTTTACACCATAATTGAATAATTTATGGCGTCCTGAGAGGAGATTTCAATGGGTATGGCGTCCTAAAAAATAGAAGAAAATGATTTTTTCTCGATTTTTCTAGAAATTGAATTTTTTAAAAAAGAAAAAAATCAAAACGTATACATTCAAAAAAGACTATAAATGAAGATTTTTCTATTTTTTTTCATTCTAAAACATCTTTTTTTGGATAATTTTTTTTTAATAAATATGTAAGAAAGATTGAAGAAAAAGTAAATTTACTTTCAGAAAATTCGTTTTACATGATGTAAGACCCATAACAACTATAAATATTCAATTATTTAAAATAAAAAAAGAAAAACAGATTAAATGTATCTCACATCAAAATCCATTGACCTAAGGATGTTAAGTTTCTGTTTTTAAAAGTTGATATTTTTTTTTTTAATTTTAAGAAAATTAATAGCATGTTATTAGACAATAGGAGTGTAATGATATTGACTAAACAGAAATGAGAGAATAGAGATATAATTTTGATAAGCAATATTGCGAACAAATTCTGAAGTAAAAATCGCGATCAATAATTGAAAATTACGATCATGTACTGAAAAATGACGATCGAATTGAATGAATAGAATTATATCTAAGAAAAATAAATTGTATTTAGAAGATGAACAAAGAAAGGTGTATGCTAAAAAATCATTTAACAATAAATGGAAATAAAACGAAATTGTTAAAAGAAAAAAATGAAAATTGTTAAGGGTGCACACGAGAGGATCATGTAAACTTTCAGAATTAAGAACCTTATTTTTAGGCATTATCTTGGCTACCTATTTCGGCTCGAAAAAGCAAAAAATATCAAAAAATACAACTTGACTCCATTATGACCCTTTCATGGAGGTAGTTTTTATCCGTAGTATTTCCCTTTGAATCTCTTTACAATTCGAAATCAAATTCAAAACTCAGTAGAAGAAAGGAAGAATCGACTTACTACGGTTGTAATACGAATAAATACATTATATTTAATTATTTTTATTTACATAATAATTGTTTGAAGCTCATATTCCAACAAATTTTTAAATAAAACATTAAAATGTTGAAAATGTTCATATATTTTAATAGGGTTTTGGCACTTTATTGAGGAATTACTACATACATAGTCGAACTGAACTTGATATTTTGAAATTTAAATTATTTATCAAAATTAAAATTTAACTTGAAATTTATATTATTTAGTCATATTTTGCATAATTCTAAGTAGATTTTTGTAAAAAATCAAGAAAGAAAAATTTTAACGTGCTTTATTTTTTTCTTTTTTATAATAATACATATTATTATATAATTAACATATTCATAATGTTTCACCCTTTCAAAAATATAATCCTCCTCCTCTCAAATAAACGTACATACGGGTGGCCTCTTTATTCAAAAAAATTAAATATTTGAAATTTTGGGCTCAAATATTAGAGATTTTTTCAACCTTCAACGATATATGTTGTCTATATCAGACCTCCTTTTTTTTGATACTTAACATTGTTCCTAAATCTTAGCCGTTAAAGCTGTTCTGAAAATATTTTTTTTTCGAAAAAATTCGAAAAAAATTCTTAAAATTCAAAAATCCATTAATTCCTGAGAATTTTGGAAAAAAGTTTTTACATGAACATGTGTATATTATATGAAGTATATTGATAAGGTAAAAATCAAATTTTATTGCATATTCATCGAGAAAATAAACTAACGAATCCCTCAAAATTGAGAGGGTAATCCTCCTCCTCTCAAATAAACGTACATACAGGTGCACCGCTTAAATAATATATTTTTTTTAGTCATAAGAATAAAAATATAGTAAGTTATAAAAGGAATTAGACTTTCATATATCAATTCTTTTTCTCTGTAGATGTGGAACGTTTTGCTTTTCGATCTCTTTTCGATGAGATTGGGGACAAAGTTGCAATTCGGCACTTTTTGTAAAAAAATGGGGTCAATACTCATAATGAATAGAGACTTATAGCCAAGTCTTGATATCATGCAGGGAGAATATACATTGATAAGCAATTATATTTTATAGTAGTAGTATTTCAGAAATTCTTACAATTTACAATACAATTTTCAAAAAATGGATAAAGACTAATAGCCAAGTCTTGATATCATGCAGGGAGAATATACATTGATAAAGCAATTATATTTTATAGTAGTAGTATTCAGAAATTCTTACAATTTACAATACAATTTTTCAAAAATGGATAAAGACTAATAGCCAAGTCTTGATATCATGCAGGGAGAATATACATAGATAAGCAATTATATTTTATAGTAGTAGTATTCAGAAATTCTTACAATTTACAATACAATTTTCAAAAATGGATAAAGACTAATAGCCAAGTCTTGATATCATGCAGGGAGAATATAACATTGATAAGCAATTATATTTTATAGTAGTAGTATTCAGAAATTCTTACAATTTACAATACAATTTTCCAAAAATGGATAAAGACTAATAGCCAAGTCTTGATATCATGCAGGGAGAATATACATAGATAAGCAATTATATTTTAAGTAGAGTATTCAGAATTTCTTACAATTTACAATACAATTTTCAAAAATGGAATAAAGACTAATAGCCAAGTCTTGATATCATGCAGGGAGAATATACATAGATAAGCAATTATATTTTTATAGTAATAGTAATTCAGAAATTCTTACAATTTACAATACAATTTTCAAAAATGGATAAAGACTAATAGCCAAGTCTTGATATCATGCAGGGAGATATACATAGATAAGCAATTATATTTTATAGTAGTAGTATTCAGAAATTCTTACAATTTACAATACAATTTTCAAAAATGGATAAAGACTAATAGCCAAGTCTTGATATCATGCAGGGAGATATACATAGATAAGCAATTAATATTTTTATAGTAGTAGTATCAGAAATTCTTACAATTTACAATACAATTTTCAAAAAATGGATAAAGACTAATAGCCAAAGTCTTTTGATATCATGCAGGGAGAATATACATAGATAAGCAATTATATTTTATAGTAGTAGTATTCAGAAATTCTTACAATTTACAATACAATTTTCAAAAATGGATAAAGACTAATAGCCAAGTCTTGATATCATGCAGGGAGAATAATACATAGATAAGCAATTGATATTTTATAGTAGTAGTATTCAGAAATTCTTACAATTACAATACAATTTTCAAAAAATGGATAAAGAACTAATACCAAGTCTGATATCATGCAGGGAGAAATATACATAGATAAGCAATTAATATTTATAGTAGTAGTATTCAGAAAATTCTTACAATTTACAATACAATTTTCAAAAATGGATAAAGACTAATAGCCAGTCTTGATATCATGCAGGGAGAATATCAATTGATAAGCAATTATATTTTATAGTAGTAAGTATTCAGAAATTTTACAATTTACAATACAATTTTCAAAAATGGATAAAGACTAAATAGCCAAGTCTGATATCATGCAGGGAGAATATACATAGATAAGCAATTATATTTTATAGTAGTAGTATTCCAGAAATTCTTACAATTTAACAATACATATTTTCAAAATGGATAAAGACTAATAGCCAAGTCCTTGATATCATGCAGGGAGAATAATACATTGATAAGCAATTATATTTTAATAGTAGTAGTATTCAGAAATTTCTTACAATTTACAATACAATTTTCAAAATGGATAAAGACTAATAGCCAAGTCTTGATATCATGCAGGGAGAAATGATACATAGATAAGGCAATTATATTTTTTAGTAGTTATGTATTCAGAAATTCTTACAATTTACAATACAATTTTCAAAAAATGGATAAAGACTAATAGCCAAGTCTTGATATCATGCAGGGAGAATATACATTGATAAGCAATTATATTTTAATAGTAGTAGTATTCAGAAATTCTCCAATTTACATACAATTTTTAAAAATGGATAAAGACTAATAGCCAAGTCTTGATATCATGCAGGGAGAATATAATTGATAAGCAATTATATTTTATAGTAGTAGTATTCAGAAATTCTTACAATTTACAATACAATTTCAAAAATGGATAAGACTAATAGCCAAGTCTTGATATCATGCAGGGAGAATAATACATAGATAAGCATTATATTTTATAGTAGTAGTATTCAGAAATTCTTACAATTTACAAATACAATTTTCAAAAATGGATAAAGACTAATAGCCAAGTCTTGATATCATGCAGGGAGAATATACATAGATAAGCAATTATATTTTATAGTAGTAGTATTCAGAATATTTACAATTTACAATACAATTTTCAAAATGGATAAAGACTAATAGCCAAGTCTTGATATCATGCAGGGAGAATATACATAGATAGCAATTATATTTTATAGTAGTAGTAATTCAGAAATTCTTACAATTTACAATACAATTTTCAAAAATGGATAAAGACTAATAGCCAAGTCTTGATATCATGCAGGAGAATATACATTGAAAAGCAATTACTATTTTATAGTAGTAGTATTCAGAAATTCCTTACAATTACAATACAATTTTAACAATGGATAAAGACTAATAGCCAAGTCTTGATAATCATGCAGGGAGAATATACATAGATACAATTATATTTTATACGTAGTAGTATTCAGATTCTACAATTTAGCAATACAATTTTCAAAAAAATGGATAAAGCTATAGCCAAGTCTTGATATCATGCAGGGAAGAATATTACATAGAATAAGCAATTTATATTTTATAGTAGATAGTATTTCAGAA